TGCCAGCCCAGATGACAGTGCAGGCAGGATACTCAGCCAGAGATGACACATCCTCTGACTTTCAAAAATCAATCAATCACTACCCACCCAAGACGTTCACAGATGATGCACTCTGTGCATGGTGTAGCGCTCCAGATGTGCAGGTGGCATGTGCTGTGGGTGGAATCAACAAGGGTACCCAGGAGGCAAGGATCCTAGTCAGAGGTGGTACCCACAACCAATCCAGGGGCAGGATATAGGCCAGACCTGGCACAGTCCGCTGGCACCCGGAGGTAGAGAGCCAGTCTCTGAATACTAGCATGTGCATGTGATCCTGCTGCTGGATGCAAAATAGCAAAAGCCTGGCCTCAGGTGCAGTGGGAAGGGGCTGGGGGAACATCACCAGCCCCCTGGTGGGTAGTGGTGGTGATGGTGGTGGAAGTAATTCCTCTGATCCTCAGAAAGTATGGAGGACAAGGGGGAGACTGCACCTTTCTTGTCATCAGCCAGCCTCTCATGTGGACACTACTGTCATCCCAGGTTCCCAAGCTGACCAGAAAGCTCTCCACAAAGTTCAAAATGTCCTTACCACACTGTTTACAAGTCACTGTTTACAATTCAATGTTCTGTCTCCTTATTCATTTTGTTTCTTTCTTCAGTTGGTGTTTGAACTACTTTATCCTTTCAAACTTAGTGTTCTAGGATTATCATCTGTATCTGTCTTATTTATTTTCTAGTGTCTTAAGTAAAGGGGGTTTGGATTTCTGCCTTCCTGGTCTGTCATCATACTTGAAAGTGACATTTGTTTGATTTCTTGACTGCTGCTTTCATGGGGGTTGACCGTAGATCCAATGAAAACGAAATCCTTGACAAATTCAATCTTTTGTCTGTTTATGCTGTTGCTGCTTACTGGTCCAGTTGTGAGGATTTGGGGTTTATGGTGGAATATAATTTATACTGAAAGCTGTGGTCTTTGATCTTCATCAGTGTTCCAGGAACTTTGAATTTCAGCAAGCAAAATTGTCATTTGCATGTTGTGGAGTATTAATGTATCTTCTTCCAATCCTGCTATCCCATTCTTACGACAGCTTTTTAGATGATTTTCCTTGGAATATAGATTGAATAAGTATGGTGAAAGCCTATAGCCCTGATGCACACTTTTCCTGATTTAGACCATGAGGTATCTTCTTGTTCTGTTTGAACAACTGCCTCTGGTCTATGTACAGGTTCCTCATAAGCACAATTAAGTGTTCTGGCATTCTCCTTTTTGCAATGCTATCCATAATTATAATGTTCCCTGATTAATTAATAATGAATTATAATTAATGCTTTCCGATTAAAACAAGCTTGGAAGCAGGAGTGGCATCCACTTCCATAATAGCTTGCCTCCAGAAACCCTATGAACCTGGGGAGATGATGAAAGACACACAAACGTTGAGGGCTCTCCTTCATAAGGTCTCTATGAGTTGCCTGCGACTCAACAGCCAGCACTTAACAACAACAGCAACATCCATAATTGGTTATGATCCAGATAGTTGATTGCCTTGCATAATCAAAAAACACAAGTAAACATCTTTGTAGTAGTCTCTGCTTTCAGCCAAGATCCATCTGACATCAGCAATGATTATCTCTTATTCCACATCCTCCCCTGAATCTGGTTTAAATTTGTCAGCTCCCTGTAGAAGTATTGTTGCATTGGTTTTCAAAATTATTTTGAAAAACTTTACTTGTGTGTGTGATATTGATACTGCTTGGTAATGTTTTCATTTCATTAGATCACTTTTTCTTTGGAATGGGCACAGTCTGTTGGCGAGGTAGCTGTCTTCCAAATTTCTTGGCATAGATAAGTGAGCAATTCACATCATCTCCACTGACCTCCTATTCTGACAGCCCATCCTGGAACCTCCTTGATGTCAGGTTGCAGAATATGGTCCCCCAGCATCCAGTTGCTCCTCAGCAGACATAATGCAAGAATCATTATTTTTTAAATAATTTTTTTTATTTTTAACAAAAGTTTACAGAAAATTTGGATTTTCATTCACTCATTATTGCCCATTTTACCCCATTCTCCCTCCTCCAGTTCACTTTAAAAAAAAATCATTCATTGTTGCATAATTACCTCTCCCCTCCCCCCAGTCCACTGAAAAGATGCAGGAATCTTAGGGTTGAATTCATTGTGACTCCTAGGAAATTTATGGACATCAGCTTTCTGCAAAACACCCATGGGGTACATGTGAAAACTTAAGACCTGATAGAAACGGCAATCCTTTTTAGTTGTAAGGACCTTGTTGGTGGCTTGGGGTACCAGGTCCGGGTACCAGAAGTGCGTTTCTCATGTCTGCTCCAAAGCTCCTGATGAAGTCTTATGACCAAGCTCAAATGTGACTTTCTCAAATATATCTTCCCTGATTCCCAAGCACATGTGCTTGCTTTCTCTCTATTTTCTACCTTTCTCCCAACTCTCAAATCAAGATTGAATGCTGAAGTTCTACATTGTACCAAGCCAGGACAGGATCACAGGCTGGGAAAGAAATGGCCATCACAGGTGAGGCCTGCGGGGTGCCTTCCCCGGCCGTTCTAGGGGCACAGTCAGATCCGGGGCATTGAGGATGCCCTCGGGGACCAGCCATCCACCCAGGACAGCGACCATCCCTTTCCAGGTCCACAGCTTCCAGGACCACGAACAAGGCTGGTTCCGACAGGGGGCGCTGCTACAGGTTCAGGAGGCTGGGCTTCCATCGCCTGCTGGGGCGCTATCACGTGCCCGACGTGCCGTCACGTGCCCCAGCCAACGTCACGTGCTGTCACGTCATTAGGCCAACGTCACGTGCTGGCACCGCCAGACCCTCATGGCTGCCCCGTCGTCCCTGTCGTTGTCCTCCGTTGGGCCCGGCGCCTCGTGGCTCTGGGCGCTGAGCCGCCACCTCCTGCTCCTCCTGCTGCTACCGCCACCGAGCCCGGGTGAGGGAGACACCGCCGCCGCCCCCAGCTCTGCATTAAGGCCAGGCCCGACCCCAGCAATGGCCGTCCCTTTTAAACCTCGGGGTCACTGCGTCCCAGCCTACACCCTCAGTTACCTCCAGGGCTTCATGGGCGAGTCCCAGATCATCTACCCTCGCTTCTGACTTCCTCCGGTGGACCTGACATTTACATGATGGTTCTTCACAAAACGACGTGTGACATAGAAACATCTCAACCCCAAATGAAATCCCCAACCTTCATCTTCCTACAAACCAGCTTCTTCTCTTCTCTCACTCAGTGGATGCCATCCACTCTCCGCCACAACCAGAAACTCGAGTATCATCCTTGCTCTGTCCCTTGAGCCAAGTCTCACACCCACTTTACTCTGTTCTCTCTCTCACTTTTTTTGTTTCACGGTTCTTCGTTTTTGGCCTAGGTTCTGTAAAGTCTGCGCTGGGATCATCATGCTGCTTGCACAGTACAGCCTGGCCAGGTCACACCTCTGTTAGCTGCATCCTCCCAGAGATCTGTCAAGGTTATTTGACCTGACTCACAAGCTCTCATGGTTGACCATGGACTTTCCTCCACTATCATCATCCCTTGCCATTACAGGAGATGTCCTACACACACACACACACACACACACACACACACACACACACACACACACACGTTTTCTTCTAGAAGGAATTTTTGTGTATCATAGCTCCTTGGAGGCAAGGATTGTGAGGCTTCCTCTGACATACTTTGGACATGTTGACAAGGCAGGATCAGTCCTTGGAGAGGGACGTCATGCTTGGGAGGGTGGAGAGACAGCGCAGGAGAGGAAGACCCTCTATGAGGTGGATTGATTCAGTGACTGGGGTAAAGGGGGTAGGTGTGTAGGAGACAGTAAGATTGGCAGGGGCTAGAGCAGGGTTTAGGGCTGTTGTACATAGAGTTGCTATGAGTTGCAGGTGACTTGATGGCATCTAACAACAACCACCACCATAGAGTTGGAACCAACCCATAGCTGACCCTCCATATGATTTTCAGAGGCAGTTAATCACATGGGAGGAGACTGCCCATCTTTCTTTGGTGGAGCTGCTGGTGGCCTCGAACCACAGCCTTTGGAATTGCAGCGCAGCTTCTTGCCAATAGCCCACCAGAGCTCACTTTTAGAAGGAATATCTAAGATATTTCTGTTCTACCTTTGCATGTTTAAGTCCTGACACAGTGACCTCTCCTGTCAGAGACTTCTCTTGTTCACCATTTCTGGGCTCCCCTGGCGATCTGTGTTCCCATCCCTGAAGTGATCTCATGCAGATGATTGAGTGTTCACATCTGACTCCTCCCCTAACCAGTGTGTTATTCAGTCTGTCACATCTCTCTGCCCAGCCTCTGGCTCCAGTTTGGAAATAGAGTGGGTGCTCAGAAAATATCCTGTGAGTGAATGAAAGAAAAATGCATGTCCTTCCTGGCATCCTGTTTATGACTTGTCAGTTCATCTCTGCTCCCCTTCTCTCCTCCAGGTTATAGAGTGGACCGAAGCAATCAAGGTAGGCTGGATGGGTCCTTGCTACAAGAAAAACTGTGTCATGGGCCCAGATGCGAGGCATGTTAGGTCATGAGAGGGACCACATCGATAATGTTTCTGGGCCTGCAAGGAATAGGAATTCAGTCTGAGAGACCTGCTTTCTAAAAAAACCACCTGTTGCTACCAGATTATTTAGACCCAACAGTTCCCAGGAAGAAGTATCTGGACCTCCTGTGGGAAGCCAGAGCCTTTTCATTCAGCCCAGGTCATCAGAGTGGGAAGCCTGTCCCAAGAGAACACTTAAAATGCTGACACAGACCCTCTTTGTAGACATGAACCTGTTCAGTTCCACAAAGACCCCACCCGGGGCCCCATGACTGTATCTTTGGGGATTAACTCCTCTGTCTTCCTGTCTTTTTCCTTAGACCTCAAGGTGAAGGGTTGGGTTGTTTCTGCTCTTGATTTCTTGAATCTCTGTTGACATTTATCCTGCCAAAATGCGGCCTTGGGTCACTGTTGTTTGATTAATTTAGTTATTCCTAAGATGCCCATGCCCACTCCCTTCTGCTTCTACTTTTCTTACATGTCCGGTGAGTATCTTTGTTTTTGTGTTTTGTGAAAACAAATGCTGGTTCTGTGTGAAAGTATTTCATGCATTGTTAATTTATGTAATTGAGCTGTGCTCTGGATTCCTTGCTTTTCCTACTCTTTTCACTTAACTCTAGCTTTAAAATCTTTCCTATGGAAACTATTTTATGCTTACCAAACATTGGAAAAAAATTAAAAATGATCAAGAAACACATAACAGATGCATAAAAGATTTTTCCCAATCATTTAAATAACATGCAAGGTGGCTCTTTATCCTTAAATATGCAATGGGTGTTTTACAAGAATATTTTCTTCTAAAAACCAGAGTATAGTTATCAATTCATAAATCTCCATTGATACCATATTTTCAGAAACTCTGGTTGTGCACATGATTAAGGGTTTGGCTATTCCCCAGAAAGGGACCTCATGTTTGGAGGGTCAATGAAAGAGAGGAAGGCTCCCAACAGGATGAACTGATACAGTGACTGTGACAATGAACCAAGTATGTCGGGGATAATAAGGACGGTGCAGATTAGGACAGGATTCAGTTCTGTTGTTCATTGGATCATTGTGAGTCATGCTTGACCCGGCAGCACCTAACAACAACAGGTAATATTTTACATAATAATTTAGAAACCATTTAAAGGATAAATTTAAAGTGTTGAATACTAAGGACTGAAGCCCAGAAAAGCTGTGGGATGGTGTCAAGGACTTATTATGTGAAGAAAGCAAAATAATTACTACAATCACAGGAAAGAAAGAAAAGACCAAAATGAGTGTCAGAATAGACTCTGAAACTTGTGCTAGAGCACAGAAAAGCGAAAGAAAAAGGAAAACATGCTAAAGAGAGCTGAAAGAAGTTTCAAAGAGCAGCTCAAGACAACCAAGTGAAGTATTACACTGGAATGTGAAAAGTCCTGGAGTTAGAAAACCAAAAGGAAAGAACGGAGTAGGCATTTCTCAAGCTGAAAGAACGGAAGAAAGCATTGAACACTTGAGTTGTGGCACTGAAAGATTCCAGAGGGAAATGTTGGATGATGCAGGAGGCATCACTAGAAGAATGCTGTACCAAAAAGAATTGGTTGACATTAAACCATTTCAGGAAGGTAGCATGTGATTAAGAGTGGTAATTAAGGAAGATGTTTAAGCTGTACTGAAGACACTAAAAAAAAATGAGGCTACAGGAACTAGTCGAATACAAATTAAGGTGTTTCAACAAACAAATACCTTGGATATACTACTGAGTTGAAGCTAAATCATAACTGACTCTCCAGCATACTTTCAGAGGCAATACTTTGTAAGGAGGAGATTGCCCATCTTTCTCCCTAGGAGCAGCTGGTGAATTTGAACCACCTGCCTTTGGGCTGGGAGTGCATTTCTTTACCAGTAGGCCACCAGGGCTCACTAGTACCCACTTGTCTATGCCAAGAAATTTAGAAGAGAGCTACCTGGCCAAGTGACTAGAAAAGAACCAAGTTTGTGCCTGCTTGAATAAAAGGTAATCTGATAGAATGTGAAAATTAACAATATCATTAATACCATGTGCAGGTTAAACCTTGCTCAAGATTATTTTAAAAAGGACTAGAGCAGTGTATCCGCAAGGAAGTGCCAGAAATTCAAACTGGATTCAGAAGAGCTCGGGGTATGAGGGATATAACAGCTGGTGTCAGGTATATCTTGCTGAAAGCAGAAAATACTCGAAACATGTTTACGTGTGTTTTATTGACTAGGTAAAGGCGTTCAACTGTATAGATTATAATAAATTGTGGATGACATTGAGAAGAAGAAAAATTCCAGAATACTTAATTGTGCCTATGTGGAACCTGTATATAGACCAAGAAGCAGTTTGTGAAACAAAACAAGGGGACACGACCTGGTTTAAAATCAGGAAAGATGTGTCAGGATGGTAACCTTTCACCACAGCTCTCAGTTTGCTGAGCAAATTATTGGAGAAGCTTGACTATATGGAGAAGACTATGGCCGCAGGATTGGAGGAAGACTCATCAACGCCCGTGTTACGCAGAAGACACAACCTTGCTTTGTGAGAGTGAAGAGGACTTGAAGCCCTTACTGAAGAAGATCAAAGACTACAGCCTTTCTCTTATTTTCTAATTTTGAATATATTTTCTAGTTAGTTGTGCTGGTATAGAAAAATGCTATTGATTTTAAAAGTGAAATAATATTAAAATAATGGTTTAAGGATTTTTTTTTAAAGTAAAATAATTCCTACTGGACATGACAACATCTCCATACACCTTAACCTGCAAATTCCAGGCACAACGCACCCCCCAGCTCACCTGTGCGGGCTGCTCCTCTGTTTTGCTATCCCTTCTTCTCTCCTGCTGTGGTATCTCTGTCTCTGACTTGTTGCTTTTTTATCTCTGCCTTTGTCACTTCCTGTCTAGCTCAGTGCCTTTGGGTAAGCCACTGGCCATCCTCCTCCTCAGCCTTCCCACCTTTAACGTGAGGTTACAGCCCTGGGTGGGTGGGGGTCTTGGTCATTCTTACCTCCCTCTGTGTGCGTGCTATGTCTCACCGACACTGTTGTTCCTAAAGTTTGTGCCAAGCCCTGGTGGTCAGAGAACATGGATGTGCGCCGCCATTGGCCTTGGGAGGCGAGCCTGCGGCTGGGAAAGGAGCACGTGTGCGGAGGGGCCCTCATTGACCCCATCTGGGTGGTGACCGCAGCCCACTGCATCGAAAGGTGGGTGAAAGGTGATCCACGTGTCCAGGGCCCAAGAGACCCAGAGCTATGGTGCTCCTGCCCAGACTCCTCATTTCCTTTAGGGAACTTTAGGGGGTGAATGGCAGGAAGAGGGGTTCCTGGAACAGGAAAGCATCAAGTTCAAGATCTCAGAGGGGGCACAGGGACTGTGCTGGATGGAACAGGAGTCTTGAGGGACCAAGACCTCCTTAAGCAGAGTGGTGAGGAAAACCTAACACACATTTCCCACTGTCCTGTACCTGAGAGCATCTGTGCATCCCCACACCTTCCACACAGGACACACAGGCCAGGCTGCCTACCCGGATGATGATGAACGCCCCCCTGACACTGAACCACCAAGGCCCCCTTACCCCTTAGGTGCAGTGGACGAGCAGAGCAAATCAGGCTTCTGCTGACGGTGAGGGATCTTGTTGAAGGCAGGAGGCCAAACCTGCTTAGCCGCTGACCTCCTCCAGGTCTCTGTCTCCTGCAGCACCAAGGAGTACACGGTGATGCTCGGCACCTACAGGCTGAAACCCCTGAACTCCTCCAGAGTCCTCTGGATCCCCGTGAGGGACATAATTTTGCACCCCAGGTTCTGGGGCCGGACCTTCATCATGGGCGACGTGGCCCTTCTCCAGCTCCTCAGTCCCGCCACCCTGAGTGAGTACGTGCAGCCCATCTGTCTTCCGGAGCCCAGCTTCAACCTGAGGGTCGGAACGCAGTGCTGGGTGACCGGCTGGGGACAGATAAGGCAGCGCTTCTCCGGTGAGTGGGATGGGATGGGTGCGGTGTAGGGTAACATGATAAGCCCACTTTTCCTTTTGGGGTCCCACCATGGTGTCAGCTTGTGACTGAGCACCTCTGGCTCTTGGTTCTCTGGGGGTACGGGCTGTTGTTTACATGGTAACCACTGTCACAGTTCATGCCTGTGAGCTTGAAATGGGCACCTTGTTGAGGCCCAGTAATGCCCAGGCGGGCCAGGGTCACTCGGCTTCCCCAGACGCTCAGAAACAAAGATTCATAAATTCACTCCCTCCCTCCTTTATCTGACAAACTTGGCAGAAGGGAGGCTAAGATCTGATCAGAGAATCTTTAAGTCAAGCTGGGAGGGATCGAGGAGGAACTCCGGGACAGAGCAGCTGCCCAGGGTACCAGATCAGATCGTAGAGGGCACAGTCAGTGCAGAGCTCACAGGCTGGAAAAGAAGACCATGTTTGGGGGCCTTTTAGGATAAGTGGCTACATTTTCCATTCCAAAATGAAAGCTTCCCAGAGAAGGAGACCCCAAACCCCAGCTTTCCAGGGTGAGAGGCTTTCGGGGTGGGGGTAGGGGGTGGTCTTTGTGCAGAGGGAAGGCATCCAGAGAGGGAGCGTGTGAGATGTGAGAAAAGGTGTGGCTTGGCTTGGTCTTGAAATTCGAAGTGAGCTGAACGTGTGGAGACGGGCAGGTCTGGGTGAGAGTGTGAAATGCGTGCTCACCCCCACCGGCCTCCTCCCCAGCCAACTCCACGTTGACCCCAGAGCTGCAGGAGGCCGAGGTCTTTATCATGGACAACAAGCGGTGTGACCAGATTTACCACAAGAAGGTCAACTTCCCCCGGATCATCCCCCTTGTCCTGGACGACATGCTCTGTGCCACCAATTATGGGGAAAACTTGTGCTATGTGAGCTTCTGGGAGGCCCCAGCAGCTGTCCTGTGCAGGGCAATTCCTTACGGGGGCCTCAGGGGGTGGGGCATTCTCTTGGCTTTTTGTTATCAGCACCAGGCAGTGTTCTGCTTCCACCTCGCCACCCCTCCCACCCCATGTGGCTGGTTTTAGCTGAGATTCTACGGTGGCAGTTACTGGTCAGAGCCTAGGATGGGGTCCCTAGTGAAGAGCTAGGTAGATCTTCCCATCTCAGGTTCCGGGAAGGAAAGGATTTTGTAGCAGAGCTCAGAGGAGTGGGTATCCTGGGGTCCAGGATGGATTTACACTTAGACCTCCCCCTTCCTCTCTCTCTAGGGAGACTCTGGAGGGCCCCTGGCCTGTGAAGTCGAGGGCAGATGGATTCTGGCCGGTGTGTTGTCCTGGGAGAAAGCCTGTGCCCAAGTCCTGAAGCCAGACGTGTACAGCCGGGTCACCAAATACAGCAAATGGATCCAGAAGCAGCTTGATGGGGCTCTGGCAGCCCCCCGGGCCTTCCCCTGGCTCCTCCTCCTGTCCTGGCTACTGCAGCCCCATGTGGGTCCCTGACCTCTCCTTCCCCTCTGCAGAATGCGGACAGATCCTAGTTAGACCAGAGTCATGCGTCCATGCTCAGTAGGGTGTGGACTGAGTGGCCCAGGCGACTGAGTCTGTGCTTCACCGTCCTACCCGAGAGGGACGGGGCGGATGACCGGGCCCTGGTGGTCAAGAGAAAGGCCTCGAAGAGTTCAGGAACTGGGGATCAGGCAACAAAGATTAAACTTGTGTAAGCAGAACGGCCTCTCTTCTCGTCCCTGCAGTGACCTCGTGGTTGGGGCTGGGGTGGATGTGCCGACAGGGCCTCCTGGAATGAATTCTGGCCAGCAAGTGCCCTGCGGCTGAGACTGAGAGGGCTGTGCTGGGGCACAGCGAGGGGCCTCCGCCTGCCATCTGAGTTTCCTCATTTGTCAAGTGGGCGTGTGGGAAGGAAGCAGTTGGAACATGTTTGTAGGCAGACAGTAGGAAGGACGGCTCACATATTGTTTACTGCTATTATGTAGCATGGAGTCAAACTGAACCGCAGCTGACCCTCCAGAGGTTTTTTTAGAGACAGTAAATCACATGGGAGGAGATTGCTCATCTTTCTCCTTTAAAGCAGCTGGTGGATTCGAACTGCAGGCCTTTGAGTTGCCAGCACAACCCCTTACCACTAAGCTACGAGAGCTCCCCAAATCAGCTTTTACTTAAAAAAAAGGTATTACTTTTTAAAATATATTTCAAAAGTGTTACACGCTGTTTGCTGAAAATTAAGAAAACAATACCTAAGACACAAACCCAGATTCTCACACACATCTTTTAACACTTTTAACAATTAAAAAGAAGAACATTTTTTGAACAAAATTTACCAGTAGTATCTGACTACATTCTTGTGATCTACAAAAATTATTTATAAATGTAAGATTGGTGGATGATTTATCAACAATCTGCGTTATGCAGATGACACAACCCTGCTTGCTGAAACTGAAAAGGACCTGAAGCACCTGCTACAGAGGGTCAAGGACTGCAGCCTACAATATGGATTGAGGCTCAATGTCAAGAAGACAAAGATTCTCACCACTGGGCCAATTGGCAGCATCAGGATGGATGGTGAAGAGTTTGAGATTGTACACAGCTTTAGTTTGTTTGGCTCCACAGTCAACAGTCTTGGCACCAGCAGCCAGGAAATTAAAAGGCGCATTACCATGGGAAAGTCTGCTGTTAGGGACCTCTCCAAAGTACTGAAGAGCAATGGTGTCTCTCTGGAGACTAAGGTGCATCTGATACAGGCCATGGTCTTCGCAATCACTTGTTATGCATCAGAGAGTTGGACAATGACCAAGGAGGATAGAAGGAGAATTGATGCCTTTGAGCTGTGGTGCTGGAGAAGACTATTGAAAAAACCATGGACTACCAGGAAAACAAACAGATTTGTCCTGGAAAGGGTTAAACCAGGTGGCTCCTTGGAGGCAAGGATTCTGAGGCTCTGTCTAACATACTTTGGACATGTTGTGAGGAGAGACCGGTCCTTGGAGAAGGACATCATGCTTGGGAGGGTGGAGGGACAGCGCAGGAGAGGAAGGCCCTCTCTGAGGTGGATTGATTCAGTGACTGGGATAATCGGGATGGGAGTGTCGGAGACAGTGCAATTGGCACAGGACAGAGCAGAGTTTAGGACTGTTGTACATAGGGTCGTTATGAGTCGCAAGCGACTCAACGGCACATAACAACAACAATAACGTGTGTGTATATTTGAATAAATACACGTTGTCTCTCATCCATTCCCACAGCCAATCCTGCTTTCCTGTGTGGAAATGATCACTGTGAACATAAACAGTTAATGAATAAATACATAAAACACCTGTATATAAATGAGATGGTCTGTGTGTATTAGGGCGCTCTGGTGGCTTAGTGGTAAGAAGCCATGCTACAATCCCAAAAGGCTCATAGTTCGAATCTGCCAGCTGCTCTTTGGCACAAAGATGGGCAGTCTCCTCCCACGTGATTTTTTTGGCCTCTGAAAACTTGCTGGAGGGTCAGCTTTGGGTTTGTTCTGACCGTACCCAACAACAACATACCCAACAACAACAGCAGCAATGAGTATTAGTGTCTGTAGGTGGAAGAACAATGACTAGGGAGGATAGAAGGAGAATTGATGCCTTTGAGCTGCGATGCTGGAGAAGAGTATTGAACAAACCATGGACTACCAAGAAAACAAACAGATTCATCCTGGAGAGGGTTAAACCAGGCTACTCCTTGGAGGCAAGGATTCTGGGGCTTCGTCTGACATATTTTGGACATGTAAGGAGGGACCGGTCCTTGGAGAAGGACATCATGCTTGGGAGGGTGGAGGGACAGCGCAGGAGAGGAAGGCCCTCTCTGAGGTGGATTGATTCAGTGACTGGGATAATCGGGATGGGAGTGTCGGAGACAGTGCAATTGGCACAGGACAGAGCAGAGTTTAGGACTGTTGTACATAGGGTCGTTATGAGTCGCAAACGACTCGACGGCACATAACAACAACAACAACAACAGGCGGAAGAAACCCTGAAGCGTTCACCATGATGATGGCATGGGATTGGGCCAGGTTCAGATCTGCTGTCCATAGGGTCACTCTTGGAGGCACAAAACAACAAGAGCTGACACTTTGGCAGTTCAGGGCTTTGGAAGGCAGCCCGGCAATTTGCTTTTAAAAGTCACAGCCTCAATCCCTGTGGAGTGATTGTACTCTGCATGAGTGCGACTGCCACGGGGTGTAATCAACTTGATGGCAACTAACAACACAACAGCGTTTGCATGATCAATAAAGTTTTTTTAAGCTGATAGGACTTAAAGGAAGACTCTCAGCAAGACGGGCTGACACAGTGACTTGAACAATGGGCTTGAGTATATCGGACACTGTGAGGATGACACAGGATTGTGCGAGGTTCAGATCTGTTGTTCACAGGGCCGCTAGGAGCCATGGTTGACACCTAACAACAACAACATATATTCTGTGTGGCTATAGCTCTGCTTTTTAGCAAGGCTGTTCCTTTCTCTTTTTCCTCCATTGCAAAAATGATACTTTGTCCCTCTTAAAAGCTAACCCAGTTTACACTGAGGTCTGCAATTTGAGAATGAATGTTTCCCTTTTGCTAAAAATGGACACTAAAAATTTGTCAATCTAATGGCAGGCATCTTTGCCAGTTTAATTAGTATTTTTATTGGGAAATGTCTTTTCATGTATTTTCTTGAAAAAGCTGCAGCTCCAGCGGTGCAATTCATTTGTGCTCAGCTTTTATAAGTATGCTTTATTCTAATGAATCCTCTTATTATCCTGTTGTGTATCAGATTGCCTATCATTTTCTCATGGACGTTCATGATTGCTTCTGAATTCCTTTAAGCCTTTGCCTATAATTGAAAAATATTGTGGCCAGTGGGTAGCTTGTCTTTTAAAATGTGTGTGGGATGCAACATGGATAAGTTTAGAAGACATTATGTGGAGTGAAATAACGTAGTCACAAAAGGACCAATACTATATAAGTCCACTGTTATAAGAATAGGAGGCCTGGTGGGAGGGAATAGTGGAGAGAACAGGAAAAAGATGGCCAGATTAGGAAAACTGTCCTGGAGTAGGTGAAAGGAAGGTCAACCTGGAAAAAGAAAAGATAATCAGGCATCACAAGCAATGCAGCTGACAATCTGGAATAGGACATGCCTTGACAAATGAAGGGGGAGAAAAGGAGGCATAGATTTGGCTAAATGAGTGAATGAAAACTGAACTTCTTTGTAGACTTTCAGTCAATAATTTAAAAAAAGAAAAGCATATGGTAAATAGATGGGTAATTTTTGTCATAAAGACAGTTCTGTGGAGTCTGTCTTTACGTCTCTCTGAATTTTGTGACTTGCTTAGGATGACTACTATCTCCAAATTATAAAAAACTACCTTCTTGGTTAAAAAAAATACATATATATGTATTTTTAAATTATTTTTTTATGTTCAACTCTTTAATCTATTTGATATTCTTCTTATCTTGTTAATGAAAAGAATTTAATTCTTTTCTCAAATGGACAGACAGCCAAGGTCATTGTTAGCATCCCTTTCCTAGTTTGAATTTCCACGTTGGTAGCTGCAGAATCTCAGTATACACGTGAGCGTGTTTTGAAGCCATCTCTGTCCCTAACCCACGTCTGTGTGTCCCTTGATCAGTGCTGTCCTCTTTTAGTCCACTTTGTGGTACATTTTGTTGAATGCTCACAAAAAAATGGTCTCTCTTTTTTTTTTTAAAATGTATTGCCTAGTCTACAAAGTTTACCTTTCATAGAACGCTAGAATTTGTTTGTTAATTTTAATTTTAAAAATCTTACTGATATTTGAATTGGAATGATATTGTTGTTGTTGCTTGTTGTTTGGTGCCGTCGAGTCGTAGATGACTCATAGCGACCCTATGAACGAACAGCCTGAGCACTGTTCGTACATAGAGTTTCCGGAGGCAAGCCATTTTGGAAGTGGATGCCGCTCCTGCTTCCAGGCTTGATTTAGTCGGGAAGCTCCAGCCAACACTGTCCACCATGGGTGCCCATTACCACGATTGGCACATCACTGTCACAGGCTTCAGCATCACAGCAACCACGAGTTACCTCTGTACAGCAACGCACAGACCAGTGCTATACCACCTAGAAGAATGTTTGACAGGAAGACAATTTGAACCTGGCCGAGGGCCACAGCTGACAATCACCCACCTTCGGCTTGGTAGCACAGCTTCCTTCCACTAGGCCAACGTAGCTCTCTCTTGGTCATCGTCATTGTTATTGTTGTTTAATGCCGTCAAGTCGTAGACGACTCATAGCGACCCTATGAACGAACAGCCTGGAATGATATTACACAGATTAATTTGAGACTTCTTGTTAATGTGTTGTCAGATTGCCTATGACTCATAATGACCCTGTGTAGAACAGCTCTGAACCCTGACCTATCCTGAGCCAGTCTCACTAACTCCAACATACTTAATCCCGTTGCCCCAGTCATTATGTCAATCCATCTCACGCTGTTT